TAAAGTTCTAATGAAAATAAAAAGAATTTTTTTTTTTATTTTCACTAATTTCCCAAAAGAAACACCTCAAAAGAATTTTTTTTTTGAATTTTGGAATTAATACCTTAAAAAAAACCTTTTAAAGAGGTACTAAAAGAAAATTCTCTCTTTTGAATTTTTAGTCCTAAATTACTAAAGATAAAAATAATTTTTTTTTAATTTCTAGATACTAATTTCCTAAAATAAAACCACCTCAAACTTTTCTTTTCTTTTTTTTTTTCTCTTGATTTCTAGTAGTAGTATTTCTAAAGAAAATTCTAACGGAAATATAAAAACACAAAATATCTTTTTTTGGATTTTTGAGTTACACCACACCTTTTCAAATACAAAATAAAAAGTACAATAACAAAAAACTTGACATTACTGTACAAAACTAGAAAGTAAAATATGACATAAAAAAAACATACTCAAAAAATAAAATAAAAAATAAAAATAAAAATAAATCTCCTTAAGCAACTCCTGAATGCAGTGGTCCTGGGGTATCTGTCCTGCTCAAACTCCGGTAAGTGGATCCACACCTGTATGAAAAAACTTAAACCAACACTATGTGAGACAATAACATTCCCTACTAGACACATGCAAGACATGGCTGCGATTACTTTTTCTAAAATTAACCTATGTGGCTAAAAATGCAAGATTTGGCTAAGACCCCGCGAAGCCAAGAACCTAAGATTTATTAGGAAGACCGGACCCTATGTGGGTTGCCTATGTATCACGCCTCGAAAGACGAGAATCAGGTATGCGTAGTTCGGGCAGATTGGATACGGTCGAGAATTAATTAAAAAAATAACTAATTTAGAGAAAATATATTTTTTTTGTCTTTTCCTTGAAAATGATGAAACATGCAAAATCTTTTTGGATTTTCTTTTTTTCTTTTTTTTTTTAAATTTTTGATTTTCCGAAAAATGATAAAAAAAATTCAAAATCTTTTTTCCCAAGCTCTTTTTTTCTTTTGGGCCTCACTCGCTTTATCTTCACACTTCACCCTCTCTTTTTCTTTTTTTTCTTCTTTTTTTTTTCATTTTTCTATTTGCCCTCAACTATCATTGGTCCGCCAAATGACCCTTTTACCCTTGAATAGATGCAACATGTAGCACATATGATGCATCAAGATGGTCTGTTATTTCGGGTACACCTGTCCTAGACGGACCCAACCCCTGTGTTGAGTCCCCTAAGTCAAATGCGCATGATGCAAACAAACGCTCCTACTAGGGATCCGGCATGAGTCTATGTTATTCTAGGTTTAAAAACCTGGGTTTATTTGTTCTAGACCTGGCTTACCTGAGCGGACAACTCGAGCCGAGGGAGGGCAGCGTACCGAGAATACAGAAGCTTCACCGACTTTGCAACTTGTTCGAACCTCGTTCTAAAATTGGATAAGACTCTAGCCAGAAGAGAAGTCACACGAAGTGCACCCTTCTCCATGATTTAGAAGATTCAGAGAGATGAAGGGTTTCGTAGCAGTTATATACAGTTCACAGAATATCAAAGCGGTAAAAGCAACACTTAGCACATTAGGCCCAAACATGTAACAAAATCAGATAATAAATAAAGCCAAATATAACAATTCATCTAAGCTCAAATTCTGAACCCTGAACCAAAAGTTCTAGGTTCTTTTCCCCAGCAGAGTCGCCAGAGCTGTCACACCTCCTTTTTCTACTACACCCCCGGAAGGGTATAATAAGGGAGTTATTTCCAACTTGAAGTGACAATCGAAATGGAATTCATTTTATTAAAAATTCAGAGTCGCCACCTGGGAGATTTATGGTGTCCCAAGTCACCGGTTTAAATCCCGAATCGAGGAAAAGATTGACTCTGTTTAACAGTCCGCGAACCAGAAATCCGGGTAAGGAATTATGTTAACCCGGGAGAAGGTGTTAGGCATTCCCGAGTTCCATGGTTCTAGAACGGTCGCTCAACTGTTATATTCGGCTTAATTATCTGATTTTAGAACATTTTGAACCTATGTGCAAATTTTAACTGATAACCGCTTTTATTCATTTTTAAAAAAAAGATTTAACGTCGTCTAAAATATGTCTTTGGATCACGTCATATGAAATGCACCCGTAATCCGAACACATTTTATTCAACGTTATAATGATTTGGATTTGGGTCAGATGAAATGCACACCCGAGTTAAGGAAGGTAATATTATTAAAATACGCGCCTAAAGCAACTACGCGTCTTAACTTTGCGAGGGCCATGGAAAATTCAGCTAATGGCACACCTCGATTCTAATTTCAAAGGATTGTACTCAACTAAAGCAAACTACGGATGTTCATAATTATTTTCCTATGTTCCGGATAAACAAAACAAATTACCTTAAACCGTAAATCCCGTTAATTTTATCATCCAACACACTTCTGCTTAAAAGAGTTTAAACCAAATTCTACTTATACTTTTTAAGTGTAAAATCAGATTAAACCAAACTTCTATGCCTCGTTCTCAAACCAACGATTCACTGCCCAACCAAGGTCCATATATTTATTATATCCCTAAAGACTATTAGGCTTATCTCAATTCTTCAACACATAATACAAAAAACTTGGAATCAAATTCAAGGAATTCACAAATTAAGAGGACAAGAATCATTGTATTACCTCATTTCAATCCAACAGACAGTTCAAAATAACAATTTATAGAAACCAAACAAAAATATGACTTGTAACTATAATAAGAGTAGAGATGGACCTTAGGAAGAATTTTACAGTAGGTGAATCCAAAAGCGAATCAGAAACCACGTACGGGACCTCGATGAATCGGAACCTTATCGGACCAAAGCTCAAACCTCGACGGAACCCAAATCTGTCCGGCAAACTCGAACGGAATTGAACAGACCCAATGAAAGGAGCTAAAGACCTACGAACGGGCTTTAACGGAACTCGAACTTAACTGAAACGCCACTGTTTTCCGACGACAACCAAAGAACTAGAAGAAGAAACAGAAACTTTTCACTGTTTTCGCTCTCGTTTGGACTGAAAGTAGTGGCTGGTGGTCGCTGGCTATTTGGAGAAGGGCTGGTGTCATCTGGTGGGTGGCGTGATGCTGTTGGTTCGAGATGGTCGGCGCCGCAAAGGTTCAGGGGTCGTTTGGTCCTCAGCTGAGGAAGACGAGGATGGCAGCCATTAGGGGTGTTCATGGTTCGGTTTGGATCGGTTTTTCCCTAAAAAGAAACCAAACCAAGTAAGTCGGTTTTTCAAATATTAGAACCAAACCAAACCAAACCAATTAAGTCGGTTTTTTCTCGATTCGGTTTATGTCGGTTTTTCGGTTTTATCGGTTATTTGTCGATTTTTTCTTAAATATGATACATACACTACCAAACACATATTCCGGAGACCACATTTTCAACGTAACACTATCAAATCAATTGCCCTTTGAGAAATCTATTATTTACCAAGATATATTGATGATAATTGAATCAAATAGTGATGAATAATCTAAGGACTCAATTAAAAATATATTATTTTTAACACGAAATGGATTCTTACACTTAACAAAAGAAAACTACCAATCAAACTAGAATGTAAAGGTAAAGAACTATACCAAAAGTGCAAACTATTAACATTTACCATTAAATTTTTGAAACTTTATATAAAAATATACATATATATAGGTGTAATAATAAATTTGAAATAGCTACTCCTATAGTCGGTTTGGTTCGGTTTTTTCCTGATTAAACCAAAACCAAACCAAATTTGATCGGTTTTTAAAATTCAAAACCAAAACCAAACCAAACCAAAAATTATCGGGTTTTTTGGTCGGTTTGGTTCGATTTTTCGGGTTTTTATGAACACCCCTAGCAGCCATGAATTTTGGCTCTTCTTCTATGAAGAAGAAGAAGATCAATCGATGGGAGAGGGGGGGTCTTGTTTTTTTGCAAGGCTGCGCTCCAGATTTCAGTCCCTCCTTTCAGCTCATTGTAGGCGTTAGTATATGTAGAGTCTAGGTTTAGGTTATTATTTTGTGTATTTTGCCAATTAGTCCCTAGGTCTTTTTTTTTTTAAGCAAATATACCACTAGGCATGAGGCCTAGTGGCTAATATATAAAGATAACATCCCAAGAAGGTCCAAAGTATACAATTTGTCCAGCAAAAACCTAATAAAAGTCTTAAAATATGTAAAGCTAGGAAGTCTAACTAACAAGCTAATACTATCTATTACATGATCACCAAATGCATGCTCCCATATTCTGTGGCTGTGTATGACTTCTAATGCCTATTTCAGGTACCATGTAGCACCAACCAAGCTCTCACCAGGTACCAAGGTATGGGGGGGGGGGGGATAGGCAATGAAAAAGTCCAAACAATAGAGCCACAATACTGAAGCAAGCAATGACTTCCAAGGATACAAAGTGATGCCATCTACTAGCCTTGCCATTGTCACCTGCAAATTACATAGCACATTGGCTACTGTAGTGTCATCTCCAGAATGAGTGTGTGAACACACTGATACCACTGAATAATGACACAACAGTATCCAATAAATTCCAAGCCAATACAGATGACATATAATGATAAGAATAGTTGAAGATGAGTTCCATATAACAGCTGCTGCTTCCAGATTATGTTTAACTGATACCATTAACAAGCGGACATGCTGTGTCAGTGTAACTAAGATCAAACACACCTGCATTGTGTCAGTATGAAGATGCTATCAAGACCATTATGAACTTGCACTCTTTTGGACATAATCAGAGCCCATGGGATGAATGCAACTGCAAACAAAGTGATCAGATATGAGATGTTCCTAATGATATTCCGGAAGAGGTTCCTAATGATGTTCCTTAGACTTGAGATCCTGAAGGTGATCCTGCCTTATCTGTGTAATATATCCTACTGCAACTTATCAAATCACCCTCAGATTGAGCATGTAAACATACTGATACCACTGAGTAGTCATTTAATAATCTCCAGTATAGAAAAATACACAGACTTGGCATTGCATTTTGTAGCCTTTCCATTAATCTGGTGCTTTCCTTTTGGCAATCCTAACTCTTAAGTTAGGAATTTGTGATTTATCCATATTGAGCAATGTTCTTCCTTCTAATGGTACCTCTTGAAACGATTGAAAATTGACTGTACCTGCAAAAGAGAAAAAAAGGTTAGCTAAAAAATCTGCCACTTTTGCCCTCCCTTAGCATATGTTGGAATATACATTGTAGGAATTTTTTGATCTCCTTGATCCTTCGCACTTCTGCCCCTATACTCCATGGTGTCTCCCATTCATCTTCAATATTCTTCCTCATTACCAAAGAGTCAGTTTCCATGATCAAAGGATGCAATTGCCTCTCCACACAATATGACAGTCCATGAAGAATTGCCTTTGCTTCAGCTACAATATTTGTTGTATCACCTATCTCCCTTGCCCTAGCAGCTATCAAATCTCCTCTGTGATCCCTCACACAAAAGCCATACGAGCTAGGACATGGATTCCCCTTTGATGCACCATCTGTGTTGCATTTAAACCAACCATCATATGGAAGCTGCCATGTAACCATTCTTGTCACTATAATAGGCTTATATTGCTCAAAGAATCTGATCATCTCAGGCCACAACAATGGAATCCCAGGAAGCCAAGGATACCTCACCTGTGCCAAATAATATAATGTCTTGTTTACCTCATGTATAACCCTGCTGCAAAACACTAATCCTCCATGCTTCATTGTGTTCCTTCTCTTCCATATTTCCCAAAGAATTACTGCAGGAGCAACCTGAAATAAAGGCTTTAGCTTGGGACAACATTTTGCATTCCACCATTCCTTTATAACTTGATGGACCTGCACCATGTTGATCACCAAACCTGCAGCCTGACTAAATGTACTCCACACCTTTTTTGCAGTATCACTGGTCAGAAACAAATGCTGAAATGAGTCTTCCTTAGGTGGCAAGCAACACCAGCATTTAGACACCACCATGTATCCCCCATCTCTCCATATATCATCTGTAGGAACCTTTCCCTTCCAAACTTTCCAAAGGAAGAATGAAATTTTGAAAGGAAGTCCTTTTGTCCATAGCTTTGCATAATCTGGATTAACTGGCTCTCTATGTCTCAATATCTTCCATGCACTACTCACAGTAAACTTGCCTGAAGGTGTAGGCATCCACCTTGGAGTGTCCCAGTAATCATCAGTAACTGCAAACTGCACTTATTCCCTAATATGATCTGCAATCTCCAATGGGAAGGTTTGATCTAGAAGTGCATCATTCCATTGCTTTTCATCTCTCAATTCTGATACCTCCTGTAGCTCCTCATTGATGTCAAAATCTGGAGGAACTACATGATATAATGCTCCTAATCCAGTCCAATTTTCATGCCAAATATTAGTAGATCCCCTATTCATCTCCCATAGTATTTCATGTTCTACTTCATCTCTAGCCTCTAGCATTTTTCTCCACACATGTGATCCCTCCCTAAACTGAACCACAGTTGGTAATTCCTTCTTGCAATACTTATTCCACATGAAATTGGACCATAAGGATTTTGAGGCCCTGAACCTCCACCACAGTTTTGCAAATAAAGCTTTAGAGACATCAAATAAAGATCTAAAACCTATTCCCCCTTCCGCCTTAGGGAGACATAGGTTCTGCCACTTTGTCCAATGTCTACTTCTCCCTTCTTCCTTATTACTCAAGAAAAATCTTGCAAATGTTTTATGGAGATGCTCAATCACATTATCTGGTGGATCAAGTACTGATAATATGTGAGTTGGTATGCTTTGCAGTACACTTGAGATCAATGTAGCCTTGCCTCCATATGATAGAAGCTTCCCTTTCCATGAGTGCAGCTTTGCTTTCACCTTCTGAATCAAGTCATTATAGTAGTTCTTCCTTCTCCTTGTGTAGAATATTGGACATCCACGGTATGTAAATGGGAAGGTCCCTTTAGAAAATCCAGTTATAGTGGCTACTGCATTCTTCAAATCTGCAGCAATCTTTGAATGCACATAATTGGAACTCTTTGCCTTATTGATCAGCTGGCCAGAGGTTCTCTCATACAATGCCAAGACATCAACTATCTTCTGAAGGGAGTAAGGATCAGCTGAGGCAAAAATAATAGTATCATCTGCATAAGCAAGGTGATTCAATGGATCAGACCACTTTGGCATCCCAAATCCTCTAAACTGCCTATCTTCAAACAATTTGTTCAAGGATCTTGATAACACTTCTGCAGACAAAATAAACAAAGCTGGGGAGAGAGGATCTCCCTGCTTCACACCCCTTGTAGAATGAAAGAATCCTGAAGCCTGACCATTCACAATCACTGAATACCAATTGTTAGAGATCAAATTCCACACCATGTTTATGAAACATCCTGCAAACCCCATCTTCCTCAGTACATGCATCAAATATTTCCAAGACACCCTATCATATGCCTTGGCCATATCTAGCTTGATCACAACATTTGGTGGCTTTCCTCTCAATCTTATGTCAGTAACAATCTCCTGTGTCAACAAAATATTCTCAAAGATGCTCCTTCCCTTAACAAAACTAGACTGGTTCAATTAGATCAATGAGGGCAAGATCTTTTCAAGTCTATCATGAACTACTCTTGAGAAGATTTTGTTGACAAAATTACTTAGACTAATAGGTCTAAGATCAGAGAATGTTTGAACTTGAGGTTTCTTAGGCAGTAATACTAGATTTGTATGTGTTATTGATTTGGGCAATGGACTACCCTCAAAAAACAACACTAACAATGAATGAATATCCTGCCCCACAATATCCCAGCATACTTGAAAGAACAAACCTAAAAAACCATCTGGTCTACTTACACTTTCAATACTCAATGCAAACACAGCATCCTTAACCTCCTTCACAGTTGGCAATCTACATAATTCCATATTCTGTTCTCTTGTCACCATTGTAGGAACATTGTTCAGCAACTCAAAACTTGTGGAATCCCCTTCATCAGTGAATTGTTTCTGAAAAAACTCTACAGCAGCCTCTGATAGCTTGTCTTGATCCTCTATCCATGCACCATCACTGTTCATGATCCTTTTCAGCTTTAATTTTTGTCTCTTTCCATTTACACAATTGTGAAAGAACCTTGCGTTTCTATCTCCTTCTTCAAACCAAGTCATACCTGCCTTTTGTTTCCAATATTGTTCTTCAATGTTCAAATATTTCTTCAGTTCTGCCTGTGCTTGAGTAAGTACTACTCTATTTTCAGAAGATGGATCCTCCTCAAATAGCATCTCCTTAATCCTCACCACATCTTCTCTAATGTCCATCTGCTTGAAGATATCCCCATAGGTTAATTTGCTCCATTTGGATAAAGCAATTTTAACCCTCTTCAATTTCTGCTTAAACATCAAAAAAGGATCTCCAATAAAATCAGCACTCCAGTTCTGCTTTACCACCTCTATGAAGGATTCATGCTTTGTCCAGAAGTTCAGGAATTTGAATGGCTTCACAAACTTCATTGCTTCTTCTCCACAGCTCATCAACAAGGGAGCATGATCCGATCCTGTCCTAATAAGATGTTCTACCTCAATAGTAGGGAATAAGTTCTGAAATGGCATGTTCACAAGGATTCTATCCAGTCTTTTAAATATACACTCTTCATTTGGCCTACCATTCCACCATGTGAAAGGACTCCCTTTGTATCCAAGATCAAAAAATCCACATGAGTTTACACAGAAAGCAAAATCTTCATATTCAGGAGGATACACTGGCAGTCCTCCTATTTTCTCTTCCTCTCCCATCACAACATTGAAATCACCCCCTACTAGCCAAGGTAATTCCATATCACTAGCTAAATAATACAGATTGTCCTATAATTCTAGCCTCTCCAGTGCACAACACTTAGCATAGACAAAAGTCATCATAATATGCTTACCAAGTTCTTGATGGTACACTCTGATTGTCAGTTGTTGTTCAGTGTCAATCAATAGATCCCATTCTACCACAGCATCAAAGAACAACCAAATCTTTCCATTCACATTTGAAATTGCAGCTTCCATACCTAGCCTTCTTCTATACTTCTGAAGAAACTTCAACTTTTGCATTGGTTCCATAAGGGCAACAATGAAAAATCCATGCTCCTTCTGCATATTAATAACCCTTTGAAAGGCCTGCTGAGTTTTGACAGACCTTATATTTCATATGAGAGTTTTTGTCATCATCTTGATACATTAAAGGCTGCCCTCCTGGGCAAAATTCTAGTAGGTGCTTGCAGCTCTTTAGGTTGATTTTTCTTCCCTTTCTTCCCACTTCTAGCTGCTGATTTAGGAGACAAATCCCTTTCCTTTGCAATAGCTTTAAAATTTTCAGCTGTGGATTCATCATCTTCTTCACCCTCAAATTGTAGTTGCTGCTCAATCAAAGTCTGCTGAATATCATCTGGCAACTCCTTATGAGTAATTATATCATGAAGCACCTGATTTGGAGTCCTTAATGGCATATTTAGTTGGATCTGTATTGGTGATCCTGTACCTGATGCACATGCCACAGGTAGAGACTCCAGTTCTCCAGAATCCCTTGCAACAATTGCCTGCGCTGCTGGTTCATAAGGTGTCAAAGCTACATGTTGTGCCTTTAATGTCTTCCCATATCCCTTAAATTCTCCTGCATCATCTTGAATTGAAGCTCATACACAGATCCTAGGTTAGGGTTTACTGTAGCAACACAATAAGAAATTACTGTTCCATTATGATCAGCCCCCTTCCCTTGCACTAATTCTTTGTCTAGGCACACTGTATCTTTTCTAACCTCTGTAGGAACATCTCCATCAAGATCCTTCTCCAAAGAATAAACAGGAACCCCATCAACAAAGGCCAAAATCTCCCCAGATTGGCTAGGGTTTACTGTTCCATTGCCTTTCTCTTTATTCATCAATTGTTGAGCTGATCCCTCTTGCTTTCTAGCTTCCTCACTTACTCCTTGATCTTTTCCAATGTGCACTTCAGCTTGATTCACCATATAGCTTGAATTATCTTCAACCCTAGTTTGACAATTGCTAGGGTTTACTGTAGCAGCTCCCATAATTTCAGCAGTTTGTCCAGCATTGTTCCCCTTTCCATTGCCTCCTAGCACCTCTTCTCCTAACCTCTGACTCTCCATAACCTCGACCTCAGCACATAAGGTCTGAGCAGAGTTGACCTTATTGATATCCTCTTTTTGCCCAGAATCCTCATAAGTTTGAGATGGTATTTCTTAGCAAGAATGGTTTGTAGCCACATTACATAGTCTTAGTTCGTTCTTACTTGTCCCAAATCTCCTATGCACCCACTCAATCGTTTGTTCCTTTCGAGTTGCAGCATCATTGCTTGTATCACTCAAAATATTGCCTGACTCCCTTACCATGTTTACCTTCTCCACAGCTTCCTTTTTTATTTTCCTAGCTTCAACTTCTTCCTTGTTTAGTGACATTTTTCCACCTTCCTTATAAGCAGATTTTCCCGAAATACCTTCTCCAATCCCATTAGCAGTAGGATTAGGAGAAGTCCCCTTTTTATTCCCATTATTTTCCAGCTGCTTCTCTTTGCTATTCTCCTTAGAAATTTGATCTTGCCCTAATGCCTTGTCTCTTGCTTCGCCTTTACCATCTGTAATTTGCATAATTGGCTGAGCTTCTTCTTCCACCTCTAAAGCTCCAAATTTATTTTTTGAAATCATAGTACCTTCATTAAGCTTCCCTTTGCCCTTGTTGTCTTCCTTCTCCTTGATCTCCTCAATTATGTAACCTCTTTTATCTCTTTGATACTTTTTCTTCCTAGCTTGCATCCACTCCTGTTTAGCATTATTAGTGACAGGTTTGCCAAGTACTTTTCCACTTGATAGAACCTTCGTAGAATTTGCAGCAGTGCCAACAACATCACTACTCACTACTTCTGCTTGCTCCTTCACTTGATCCTTGCCTTCTCCACTAACATTCTTATGTAATTCTGGGTGAATTACCCAGCATTCTTGTTCATTATGACCTTGCTTCTTACAAGTCTTGCAGTACTTAGGCATATAGTCATACCTAATTTTAATCCACTTCGATTCCTCAGGACCTGTATCATCAGCTTCTTCAATAATTTTAATTCTTTGTGGCAGCGTTGCAAGCAAGTTCACCTCCACCTTCACTTTAGCACAACTAGGTCGTGTACCATTTTGAGTAGCAAGATCAACATGTAAAGGCCTACCTACTGCACTTGCCAATGAGAATACAAACTCCTTACCATAGAAATTGGGAGGAAGATCTTGGAAAGAGATCCAAGCAATTGCAATTGGTGTCTCAACCTCCGGAGACCACCATGGACTCCACTTCGTACATCTCATCTGCCAGTAATCACCTTGAGCTTTCAAATAAAATGCAGGCTTCGACAATAAATGTATATAATCTTCCATTAACGATAACTTGATCAAGACATGAGAATCTTCAATCAAACCAACTGAACAAGCACCCTTAAGCTCACATTGGATTGGAATTGCCTTCCTCAATTCTTGGATCATAGGCTTTCCATACGAAAATTTGCCCAGAACTGCTAGATGCAAACCTTGTTGTATTATAGATTGTTTAACTTCAGATTTCTTCCATCGAACCATTGGTTCTCCATGTAAAATCTCGACAGGCTTCAAGTTTACACTTTGTACGTGCATGGGAGTATTTTATGCTTGTGGTTGTAGCAGATTCGCGTAGGTTTGGATTGTTTTTGGATTAGTAGATGGTTGTAGGGTTGTAGTATGGATTGTAGACGACTGCCCAACCTCCGGCGAAGGCTGGGCAGTGGCCGGCGTGGCCATGGAAGCGAGGCGCGAGCTTTCTCTCTCTAATCGCCCTAGGTCTTTTTGTGTTAAGTCCTTAGGGTTTTTTTTATTTGTTTTTGTTCCAAAGAAGAGTCTAGAAGGGTCCCTAGGCTTAATGGACTAATCCGAATTGGGCCAAGAATTGGGCTCTAAAACTCTTAAAATTGTGATCCAACACCTTAATTGACTCCTTTTAAAATAAGATAAAAATACTACACAATGCAAAATCTAATATGAAACTATTATATATTTTTTGTATTTTCAAGATTATGTAAAGATAAAAATAAGGTACTATTTTTTGTATAATTCTTATTTAAATTTATGAAAGATACGTAAGCTAAAATATTTTTGTAATTTTCCATTTTTATGACGAAAATAAAGGAAAGAAGTCAAAAATGGCTGAAATAGCTATATTAGGCCTACATTAAATATTTACATGCTAAAATATAAAAAATCTTGGGGAGGGTCAAAAATCATATGTCTACAGGTAGTGAAAGGGCTTACGGAAGATGTCGGAGCAAGTCAGGAAAAGCCGAAAGTGGTCGTGTCAGGGATCTCGAACAAGCCTATGGCAGTTGTGAAGGGGGCTCGTACCACCCCTGTTGTTATTAAGCTAGTGACCCAGTTGCCAATGGTAGATACAAAGGTTGTCCCGTGGAATATAGGTGATAGTGACATATAAAGGGAAAGAAGTAGAGGAAGAAGTCAATGAAACCAGAGGACTGACTCGTTAAGGGAGATGTTTTACCCCAAAGGAATAAAGGAAAGCCAAGCCATTCAAGGATAGCCAAATCCCAGTAAAGAAGCCGGTCACCGAAGAAGAGGCTGAGGAGTACCTGAAAAATATGAAAATACAAGACTATTCCATTGTGGAGCAGTTAAGGAAAACACCAGCCCAAATTTCTTTTTTGTCTTTGTTGATACATTCAGATGAACACCGCAGAGCCCTGATGAAGATTTTGAATGACGCACATGTTCCTGATAAGATCACGGTGAATCACTTGGAAAATATTGCTAACAAGATCTTCGAAGTAAACAGGATCATTTTCTCAGATGATGAACTTCCTATGGAGGGTATAGAACACAACCGAGCTCTTTATCTTACGGTAAAGTGCGAGGATTCTGTTGTCTCAAGGGTGCTGGTTGATAATGGCTCTAGTGCAAATATTTGCCCCATGTCCACTATGCAAAAGTTGAAGATCGGCACTGAAAGAATCCACATGAACAATGTATGTGTTCGAGGCTTTGATGGAGGAGGGAAAGATTCTGTCGGTGATATAATGCTCGAATTGTCGATAGGGCCAGTTGAGTTCACTATAGAGTTCCAAGTGCTAGATGTGACTGTCTCCTACAATCTGTTGTTGGGCAGGACCTGGATACATACTGCTAAGGCAGTCCCATCCTCTCTGCATCAAATGGTAAAGTTCGAATGGGACATGCAAGAAATAGTTGTGCACAATGATGAGAACTTATCTACTTACCACGACACAACTGTTCCATTTATTGAAGCTGAAGATGATAAAGAGCCTTGGGTCTACCAAACATTTGAGACGGTGTCTGTTGAGAAGATCCCTGAGGGAGAATGCATTCTAGGTACGAAGCTATCCTCCGCGTCCATCATGGTAGCAAATGAAATGTTAAAATATGCTTTTGTGCCGGGCAAAGGTCTGGGTTCATCTACATGATATTGTGCATCCAGTGTGTCCACGTGAAAGTTTTGGTACATTTGGTTTGGGATTCATGCCCATAGAGAAAGATGTGAAAAGGGCTAAGAGTTTGAAATGAAAAGTATGGTCACTCCCTAAGCCTGTTCCACACATCTCTAAGTCTTTTGTCAAGCCAAGGCCGCAAAAGCCTCAATATCATCAGTCCCGAAACCTGTGGTCGACTTTGACGAAGAGCATATCAAGAGGTTCCAGAGTCTGTTTGATGAGGTTAACATGGTGGAAATTAGGAAGGTTCCAGTAACGCAGATCTGCAGCTCGTTGGGCCGAATGTGAAGCTTATCAATTGGAAAGCTACTCCGTTCCCCACCCGGAAGGAGTTTTGGTAGTTTGCTTTGTTTTCCTTTCTGTTATCTGGGTTATTCCAGGGTTGTAATCTAGATTTTTATGTTTCGCTTGTTTTGATGTACAAACCCTTCCATCCTTTTATTTTCAATGAAATACAATTTCCGATTTTCCATTATTCCTGATAGCGTTTTATTTTTTCCTCTTTTGTACAGTTCTTTTTATGTTGTTTTAATGACATGACATGCATGAAGAATTTTCAGCCAAGTCTTAAAAGCCAATCTAATTCTGAAATAATAATCCAAGAAGTA